CAGCTCAATCACCCAGCCTGTTTCAGCTTCACCTGCTGGGCAGAACAGTACATCCACAGCAAGACACCCAGGTACTCTGTGAGAGTTACCAGTAAGAACCTATTCAGGCCCAACCAAATTCTCAGATGTTGCCATTCAAGAGATGAAACCCATTTCCCTTCTGCTGAATTGGGACTGGATTTAATGACTCCCTTCTAACAAAATAAAAAAAGGGTAAGTAAAGGTAGACAGTTCTATAAACTACTTACAAAAAGCACTGTGTTTCCCTGGGTTGCTCTCTGAGGGTGGGGGCATTGGTGCCATCATAGGGAACAGTCACTTGTAGAGGCCCTCAGAAGGAGGACCAGTGAAAACAAATATGAGTGAGCCATTCCGAGAAGAGATCCTTAAGTCTCATTTAGTCAGGCTTCAAGTAATTCCAGAACAAGGAACAGATTGCAACTACACTGAATGACAAAGCATATATTACCCCATACAATACATACATGAACTGGAAAAATCAAGTTTGGAAGTTATTTGATGTCTCCAATTAAGCTGCTAGTAAAAGGCAAAGCTAGAATCTAACTCATGATTTATTCCAGAGACCATGCATTTTGTACTGTACTGAGGGGAAAACCAGAACAGCTTACACAAAAAATTACAATATATTATATGATTAAGTGAAAACTGCAAAACCAATTTCTCACATTATTATTGCTTGTATATATGCTGGAATAATCAGACTATAAAGTGAGACTGATGAACTTCTCAGAGTTGAACTATGCCACATAATATAAAAAGCAAAGTTGTGAATTTGGAAATCAAAGATACTAGATACTACCAAGCCTCTATCAGTTTATTAACTAAGCAACCTAACACTCGTCATTTAAAATCTTTTGGGTTTCAGTGTTTCCTCCTGTAAAATGGGACCAATAGCTACACATTATTTCTTAGAAGCCTTGAAAAGATTAAATCACATCTCTACACAAACCTAACAAAAGGTGAGAACTCAGTCAGAAATAAATACTAAAAGTAGGCATAATGATACATGCCTGTAATTCCAGAACTTGACAGGCAGCTGCAAAAGGACTATACCACATTTGAGGCCAGCCAAGTCTACACAGTAAAGATCCAAGTCACTAAGGTATATAGTGAGACCCTGTCTCCAAAAACAGAAAACAAAAATCAACAGGATCAGAATTAATTTCCTTCAGGATTAAACTCTCCCCTGTGTCCAACTGAGGATTCCACAGACTTAAAACCATCAAGGAACTTGAAAGGTTACTTTCTTAATTTTACTTCATCTAACACTAGAGTAAACTGGGGCCCAGAGGTGAAAAGTGGCCTGGTCAAGCTTATGGTGAGTGTAAAGACAGGACAGGATTAAAATCCATTTTCTCTAAGTCTTGGTCACAGGCCTTTCAACCATCCCGTGCTGAACACAGCAGCACAGCCTGTGCTCCGAAGCACAGGCTCTTCTGGTGCTCGAGTGCCCGGGTGAAATCTGGCTCCACAAGTTAACTCAGCCACAATGGACCAACGGTTTAATCCCACAAAAAAAACCCTATTTCTCACCTGGCTAGTGGATATAATAATATTTACTCCATACATTTGTGAAGACTCAAGGAGAGGAGAGAAACACTCATTACTGTATGCCTGGCATACAGTAAGTATATAATGTTAGCTATTCTTATTATGAAAGGTCAACAGCATCCTGAGAGTAGATCAGGAATAGTTATATTTGAGCTGAAGATGATGCTCATTTACTCCCCAGCGATACTATGATTATGCTTTCAAAGAGTGCTCATGTAGACACAACTTGGGAGTCAAAACCAGCTTTTACACCAGTTGCCTCCTGAATGAAAGACCATAAAAACACTGCTTTTGTTCAAGATAATATACAGATCTGAGATATTGTTATTCCTTTCAATAATGACACTCAACATCACCACACAGTATCTTGTCCAGCTGGCAGCAGGGCACGTTCTTCCAGAAATCCTGGGATTTCATCCTCAAAAAATATTCACATGTAAAGAAAGCTAAGTAGGGAGGATAGAAGAACAACATCAGTTTAGAAAAGGAAGGTAGATAAAAAAAGAGAAAGGGGCAAAGGATTGAGGAACTATATGAAGAAAAAAACTGAACATATATTCTTCAATGAATCCTCTATCTGTACAGTCCCTGGAAGCCACAATCTCTTTAGTCAAGAAGCTGGAGAAATGTGCTTCCTTTGAACGAGCTTGGCAGATCCCAGGGAAGACAGACTCAGGACATTATCACAACTCTTTCTCCTCTCCTGGCCAGTCTTGTTCCTTCTTCCATCCCTACAGTTGCTCAAGTGGTTTGTCAAATACCTAAGCTATGTGGTGGGATTCTGAGGCAGGAGGATCAAAAGGCCAATTTAGGCTATAGATCCTACAAGAGGATGGGGAAAATATTACTTTTGGAGGATGCACATGTGTGTGTATCTGAGTGTTTGTGTGTGGGTGATCTAGGTATGAATATAGGTCCACATGAGCATGTATAGAGGGGTCAGAGGTCAACACTGGGTATTGTCTTTTGTAACTCTTCACCTTACTTTTTGAGGCAGGGTTTGTCTCACAGCTATAAAATGGCAACTGTTTCTAACCCTACCCAAGAAGCTCTGATGAAAATACAGTATACTTGACAGTGGTTTAGAATTAAAGCATACCCCCCTCTAAACTTAAGTCAGAACTGGACGTTAGCTTAGAATATGATCCTGGGTTTATTCAAAGCTTTTTGAACTTAGAAAAATCTCAACATTCCTAATCTTTACCAGACTAAACTATCAACAATCATAAAGACACAACATATTACACACTGTTTTCTATCCACAAGTTAAGAAGGAGAATACAAAAACTTTAAAAACTCCTTAGGAATTCTGATTGGCTGTTGATGGATTAGTGTATTACATAACATTAACAGTGAAGTCAACAACTTGAACATGATAGCAAATGAAATAACATGAAGATACACGCCCAAGAGTGTGCTTACAAGTGGAGGCTAGAAGTCAATGTTGTTGTCTTCCTCAACTACCTTCCACATTATTTTCGAGATGGGATCAAAGCCCAGGGACCCTCCTGTATCTGCCTGCACAGAGCTGGGATTGCAGAGTCATGCCATTTTTCATGTGAGTTCTGGAGAGTCAAACTCAGATCCTTATGTTTGTAATAGCAAGCACTTTATTGAGCTACTCCCCAAACTTATAAGTTGTAACTTCTGTCTCAAAACACTAAGCCAGCAGCCCTCTGTGTTCTGCCCTTCCTCACTACTGCTTCATATCTGCTACAGAAATGTGAAGAAGGATACCTCTGGGACGGCTGAACCCCACCTCAAAATAACAGAAGAAAACTAACAAAAAACAAGATTTATTGACTTCTGTGCGGTTGTTGGGTGCGTTGGGGATACAGTGAGCATGTGGAGGTTAGAGAAGAACTGTGGGGCTGGTGCTCTCTTTATAACTTCATGTGAGTTCTGAGGACTGAACCAGGTCACCAGCCTAGCACAGCAAGCAATTTTACCTACTCAGCCATCTCACCAGTTCTGAATCCTACATCTAAGCTGGCTCAACAAAGAGGAAAAAAATTTTTTTTCATTCTTGAAATGATGCTTATAAATTATTATTGCCAAATCCATAAAGAAGTAGTTGTTCAGTATTTGCAATTGTGTGTGACTGTCCCAAAGACATGAGGAAGACCACCAGCTAAATACACCTATCCTGTACCACAGCTCTTAGGACTTTGTACCAAAGTTCAGCAGGAATGATGCAGGGCTTCAACTACAAGGTCAAAGTCTCCCCACACAATTCAGCACACTTGCAGTTGGGAAGGTCCATTACTGGCATAGAGAAAATGTTTTCCCACACCTTCCATCCTCATGTGAACAAATGTGACATTCTCTAAAAGAAGAAAGGACTCAAGCAACAAGGCCTGGCCTGTTGGGACTGCTGTAACCACTGTAATTCCACAAGTCAGAATTTAATCTGACAGTGCCTTTATCAGCTCATCAGTCAGGACTGCATCACCACGACACTACTTTCCCTTCATATTCAGTGGATGCTGAACACAGCTAAACTCTTTCTTCGATCTGCATTTTTAATCTTCCAAATGTTTTAAGGAAGAGCTAAGTATCTGTTTAGGCCTTTCTTTTTCCCAAATCTGTCCTTCCAGCACAAGTTTGTCTTTCTATAGTCCCTCCTCAACAAAATAAAATAAATTAAAACCTTGTTTCCTTAAAAAAAGAAAAAAACTTGTTTTTAAGTAGGACCTTAAACAATAGTTCTGCCTCTTCTTAGATATTGTCACAATGGGAAAAATACTATATTGAGGAGTCAAGACCTGGGCTCTAGGCTAGCTCTGACACAAACTCATTACAGGGCACAATGGTTTCACTTTTTGGGTCTTAGATTGTGAATAATGTATGAAAACAGAAATTAATGTTATTAGGTAGCTCCAATTTGTATAGTTCTGTTTGCCCATAAAACTTTCTGCTACAGCCTCATCTTTAAGATGCCACACACCCACAGGGTTTCCTTAAAAACAAATAGCTTTATATTAACCTTGCACAATGTACTTTCAACAAATGTGGCCAGGCCCACTGGAGACCTATGTAGTCACACCTATAAGATATGGTTTAAGAGCTTACACAATGTTGGGTTATAGAAGATGTTACTACTTAAAACATTTTGACATGTGAAACTAATTTCATATAGTAAGTCTACTATAATTAATGCTCCTACCAAATGTATCAAGTGTTACTGACATCCTTATTTTATAAATAAGGGAAAGGAAGCATAGAAAATAGGGACTTGCCAATATATAGTTAGTACATAAAGTTGGGATTTAAAAATAGGCAGCCAGGCTCCTAATCCTGTGGTCTTAGCCATAAATTACATTGCTTCTCAAAATAGAAATAAAAGGAATTTGAAGGCCAGGCATCCAGAACCAGGTAGTATCTCAGAAGGAACAAGAGGCTAACACTGAAGTCTTTGAAGGTTGTACCTTTCACTTCAATGGTGGCATTTGCTTTAGGAGCGCTGACAAAGTGATATACACAGTGGTATTCGCCTGAATCCTCAGCTCTTGGCTTATTGATCCTGCAGAGATAAGAAGAAAAATGAAATGAGGTAAGTGGGAATGGTCAAAATATAACAGAAGGCAAAGCAAATGGGTAACAAGATGGTACCATACTTTCCAAATCCTGCTCTTCATTGTAACTCACCTCTTCCTCATAAAAGCCTTCCTTTATGTATTCCCAAATATTAATGCCTTATTATCTGCTGGGTACCAGTAATAGAAATGGAATAGGCTTCTAGTCTTTAGCTATAGTTTATTGGGAGAAACAACTACAAAACAAGCAATCAAAAATGGAATGCTTCACCGGGCGGTGGTGGCGTACGCCTTTAATCCCAGCACTCAAGAGGCAGAGGCAGGCGGATCTCTGAGTTTGAGGCCAGGCTGGTCTACAAATCGAGTTCCAGGAAAGGCACAAAGCTACACAGAGAAACCGTGTCTCGAAAAACCAAAAAAGAATGCTTCATCAAGCACAATTTATATAGAAATACAGAAGAACCATCAATAAAAATTTGTTCTCCTGGAGGCTATAGACAAAGGGGTGGAGTGTTTCACAAGTCTTTATGAGCTTCTCTGAAGATCTGATTTAAGTAGCATGCCTTTCAGAAAGTCAACACACTAAGAGGTTCAAGCATAGTTTTCTTTTAAAAAGACAAACAACCGAACCTACCAAGAGAACATTTATCCACCAAGATCCAGCTTTTTTAAAAGAAAAAAAAAGGAAAAAAAAAAAAAACATGCTCTTTTCTAGCTCTGCTAGGCACTCTGCAGTATTTTAATATGCTGAACTTGTTTCCACCTCAAAATCTCCATACAATGCTCCTGCACTGCTCTTCCCATCCCCTGGCATACTTTTCTGTCAGGTCTGGGCTCACATCTCACTTCCACCTCATTTAAATGTCCTTCTCCTCCATTACTATCACACAGGTTCTTCCCAGCACTTACCACAAAGCATAATCATGTATTTATGATATTGCTTGATTGATATCCACAACAGAGCAAGTTTTATGTAGAACTGGTACACAGTTCTACGCTTAGCCCTCACCTTAAACTCATGCTATTTAATAGAAAACAATAAACAAGTGAATAAGCAAATACAGTCAGAGCAAACAACTGTGTGTGGACCCAGACCAAGTTAAGAAATTACTGTAAGAACCATGTGTGGCCAGGATATTAATTCCCTTCAAGTCTCACAGCTGATGCCAACCTCACACAGAACCAGAGACAGAGACAGAGACTAACTGCAGCAAACAAAAACAAAAAACTCAGCTACCCCCAGACTAGAGGATAAATGCTACTACAGGACTAGATCCATATTCTTAAAGGATAATCAAACCTCCTCTGCAGAAATTAATGTTTAATAAAAGCTCCTATTTGTAACTACTTACTGGTCCAATGAATTTACCCATCTTATTGTTCATTACAAAAAAAGAAACACAAGTTAAGAAACCACAGATACGAACTGACTCAGCATATCTATGTCGGCACAAATATTCTAAAAAGAGCAGTCAAGATGTCTTCTCAACTTGACACAAATAACCCACCTTGAATCTATGCTCTCAAAATACACACAAATCAGCTGTTCTTAAGTATTCTAGGAATGAGCAACAGCCATATCTTCAGGGTTTGGCTGACTCTAAGTTCCACAAAGAATAACTAGGAAAAAAAGACTCCCAAGCTCAAGGGTATGCCTTTGTGTTTACAATCTCCCAAAACCATTCCCTTGGACTAACTATTGGGAGGGAAATTGAAGCAAACAGACAATGTTCCCTACAGGGTAGGTAGGCAGAACAGTCTTCTGAAGCTGACTCAATGGCTGACTTCCTGAGTAGCCCAAGAATATCTAAGCTGTTATTCCATAACCCAGAGACTATCAAGTACATTGAAGCAGACAGGGGCAGAGGCAAAGAGACAGTTGATAAAGTCAAGCAGAAACTTTATTTACTTACAGCTGACAGCTCTGTGGGCAAGACAAAGCCCAGGGAAAGATTAGTGGATACCTGTTTCCTCAAAAGAGGTATGGAATAAATACCACCCAAGAGCTCCACCTGGTTAACACTTTCCAAACTATGAAAATTCAGTCAAGACTAAATTCTCAATTAGCATCAGAAGAAACCACAGTGGATGGAGACAGAGCAAGTTGCCACTAAGTGTATGGTACAGGTTGGGAGGAAAATACTTAAAAAACAATTCAAAGTAGATGTGAAATTGCACATTGGTACAAATATAATTTTTGACCATAAAGGCAGCCAAGACCTACTACTCTCTGAGCCTTAGTTTCCTCATCTGAAAACAGGATGAGGACCTACAAACTCATGTAGACCAATTAAAACGGGCCTGAAAATCTAAGTGGTGTGAAATACTGCAGAATGTCTTTGCTGCTAAGTCCACAGGCTTTCCTGGTCTCCCTTCAGCACTATTTCTTGATATTGTGTCATCCTGCCAAGCGGGATTAGCTGATCCTTTTCCAGATCTCTTTGCAAACAAACTTTTCTAAAAGATGGGTTGCCAAGTGTTCTCAGCACTCTAAAAGGCACCAAATCACTGGGGTTCCAGGTAACTAAGACCAGCAATATCCTTTACTCAGAGGGTATTTCTAGGCTATCAACCTCACCCCAGATCACTAAAGACCACTGTATCCACTGGTCCTGATTAGATTATGGTGATGTTAGTCCTAGAAGACAATTCATTAGGACACTTATTCATAGGAAAGATCCCTTGTCCCAAGAGTCAAGTTTCAAAGCTAACTTTACTTTGCTTCTGACTACTGAAGTAAGTCAAGAAGCCTGTATTCTAACTGTGACTCAACTGTTAACTAATATTAACTTCTTGAGCAAATAACTCCCTGTTGTTCTCAGTTTCTGTTTCTTAATTATCACAGTGAGAGGACCATCTATGGCTCTAAACATGACTGCCCACTAGAGTCATTTAGAAATCTCTAACAGATTCCTGGACCTTGCCTCAGATACACCAGACTAGACCATCTAACAGGGCCAAGGCTGAGTGCAGAGGTACATGCCTTTGATTGCAGGACTCAGAAGTACTAGGAGACAGAGGCAGGAGGACCTCTGTGAGTTGGGGGTCAGCCTGTACATAGAGAATACCAGGACAACCAGGACTACATAAAGAGACCCTGCCTCAAAAATGATTGATAGATAGATAGATAGATAGATAGATAGATAGATAGATAGATAGATAGATAGACAGACAAAATTAGCAGAGTTCAGTTCACTGAAATGAATGAGATCATACTAAATTATTTATAGAAATATTCTCAAATTTGTCTTTTCAACATGTACATGTAAAATTCCTAATGAGGCTAAGACACATAAGAAAGGCCTTTAGAGAAGCATGAAAACACACATTACTACAGAGGTAAAGGTCCAGATTAGAAACCAGTTCAACTCACTCTACAAAATATTTCACAATGTGTGTCTCTGTCTCTACCCCACCACACCCTTTTTTGTTGGGTTTTGTTTTGGGTTTTTTTGTTTGTTTGTTTGTTTTGAGACAGGGTCTCTCTACATAGTTCTGGCAGTCCTGAAATTCACTATGTAAATAAGGCTGACTCTAAACTCACAAATATCTGCATACCTCTGCCTCTCAAGTGCTAGAATCACATCCACCACATCCAATGTATCTCTCTCTCTTATTTTTTTTTTTTTTTTTTTTCTGAGACAGGGTTTCCACTGTGTAGTTTTGGTGCCTGTCCTGGATCTCACTCTGTAGACCAGGCTAGCCTCAAACTCACAGAGATCTACCTGGCTCTGCCTCCCGAGTGCTGCTGGGATTAAAGGCAGGCACCACCACTGCCCGGCCATATCTCTTTTTAAAAAACATTTATTTGTTTAGTGTACATACACATACATGCACACACAAGACAACTTGCGAGAGTTGGTTCTTCCTTCCACCATGTGCATTTCAGACTAAACTCAGGTTATCAGGCCTGGTGGCAAACACCCTTAATGGTTGAGCCATCTCACCAAGCTCCACAATGTTATCTTTTAAGTAGCATTTTCATACTCATAATTACATCACATAAATGTAAATTGCTAATGATTAAGGTTTATGAACAAGTAATCTTATCCATACTCTCTCCCTTGTTCCCAAAGAATGTTAGTCCCTCTCACCTGTATTCCATGTTGCTGGCATTCTTACGAGAGGCAGTGAGTTCTACCCCATTCTTTGTCCAGTAGCTGTGCATAAGGGTGTGAGAGCTGGAGGTGAGGTTACACTGTAGGGTAACAGGAAGGAGGCTGTCTCGAATAATGACCTCTTCACTGGTGACAATTCTTGGCTCTGTAATTAGAGTACACAATGACAGAGTGCCATAGCTTTCCATTGTTTGCAGCCCTGGCCTGAGAGTTGGATGGGGTAGGACGGGGAGACTAGAAAAAGAGGGCAGGCAGACAGGACTACATTAGGACTTTCACTTTACCACTTTGGAGGAAGTTAAAAAAGGAAAAACAATGATCGTAAGCAAATGACCACTAGCGCAGACAACAGCCTGAAGACCAGTTGGCCTAGACGTGAAAGAATGAGAGTATTACATGTGCTTGCACTGCCAACAATCCACTTACAGTTTTGAATACCACAATTTTATGAATTAAGAACCACCAGCCAATTCAGCATCTATAAGAAAATGGAGCTCTACCTTGCAGTTTGGAATGCAAAGGCAGTGTGTCATTTATGAAACAGACTCCTTATGGAGCCACTGGCCTTGGAACAGCAACATATAATACATGTATGATTGTTCCCACATTGGAATCTGTTTACCTAGAGCAAACCAACCATGGCCTTCATATAGAAAGGGTACTAGATTTAAAAGTAAACTTCCCATTGTAAGTCTCTGGCACTCTTTCAAATTCTGAGGGTAACTTCTTAAAGAACCACTGACTCTTTCTCCAGCCCATACTTATTCCCAAAACAACCTTCTCAGAATTGCACTTTAACACACACTCACTGCAAGACAATACAATTATATTGGAGTGTAATATGTCTTGGCATATGGGCTCCTTGAAACTTAGAACTATAAGCCCCTTAGACTTTACCCTTCTCTCCAATGGGCTGAGAAGTGAAATGACTTGTACAAGGCCCTAATTACTATCAGTGGCAAAAATGTCCCTATAAAATACATCTGACTGAGTTTCCTTATCCTGTCCCCCACTCCCAACACACGTCCTAGCCCCCAAAAACCTTCACCTTAACACAAGGTGAAGATTTTTTCTTTATGGTTCTATTCTGGTTAACTTAAGATAGCACTTTGTCTACAAAAATAACCTACAATTAGATAAATAGAACCCATTAAGCAGAAAATTGATAAATCACATCGAATCATTTCTGGAAGATTTATCTTGAAAAACTCTGAAATTTTCATTTTCATATTATAGTCAGGACTATGTTGCATGTGTGTTTTATCTTTTCCCAGGTTTAATTTTTTTTTTTCCCTATGTTGGATCAAACGTTTTCTTTCAGGTGAAGTCTCAACCAATCATCTTTCCCCATTCACAATAAGAGGTATTTGCCTCCTCCCCACGCCCCCTCTCAAACACCCATGGCTCATTTCCCACTTCCCTGTATCTGGCTACTTCTAGTATATATTTCCACAGTAGCTCACCTCGTCATTTTATAAAGAATGGTTCTAAGTCTGGAGGATAGAACTACCTCCCTCTTCTGAAACTGCTTCTTTTTCTAGTTCAGAGGAGGGAAGAGGATGGAGAAGTCACAAGATACTTGGAAAATGTAATGCCTTAATGACTTCCTAACCCATGTAACTTCTGCATTATACTAACTTATATTAGTATCTTGATTAATCTTATGATAAAGTAAATCTTGAAATTGCTTCAATTAACAAACTCATTCTAACTTATTTCCAATTCTGACAACAGGATAATGGTTATCTTCCATTCAGTACTGGTCCTATTCAGTAACACCAAACGGTCTCTATATACAAATAATGGAGGCATAGCAGCCACTAAGACAAAAGCAGATGCATGTAAACACGTTAGCGCAGTGGTGTCCCGTGGTTTCCAGACACACTGGACAGAAGCCAATTCCCTGGGCTTTAGTAAGTCTAGCAGAACAGCTGCAAATCCTGCAATGGAAGGCGCACATACACCATCAGCAGAAAGCATCACAATTCCAAGAAAAATTAAAACCAAGCAAAAACAGAAGAGAAAAGGATAGAACCAGTACTCCACAGAAGAGAAATTAAAAAAAAAAAAGTATCAAAAACAACATTAAACCCAAACACACTTTCAAGTTTTCACTGAATTTTTATTGTCCAATTTCATTTTCTGTCCCACTTGGGAATCATCTCCCAGTTCTTCCTCTCAGATGCACTGAGAAAAGGCGAACTCGGAGAACGAGGCCAAGAGTTTCCAGATGTTTATATACAAGGAGGCAAAGTAAATGCTACTCTTACCTGTGACGATGCAAATGGCCACTGCAGCTCAGGGAGATTAAGAAGGTGAGGAAAGCAATCTGGTAGACTTTCTGCCAAGAAATCTTAGAAGGCAAAAGAAAGTACTTTTTCCCTTAAATGTTAAGGATCCAGAAGAGAGTCAGCTGGGAGCAAGTTGATTAGCTTAAATATGATTCTATATCAGAGGAGGACTGTAGGTGGGGATGACCTGACTCCTATGATTACTGAGTTCCTTGGCTGCAGTACTCCATTTGTATTCTACACCAGGATGAAGGTGAGACATTTAGTTCTGTGGCCCAGTGCTACCCAGTGAAAAGTCCAAGCGAGATGAACATTTAGAATTCAAATATTTTTTACCTATCACTGACTCCTATTTAAAGCATTAGGTAGGACCCTTACCCTGGCCACCATGTATATGTAAAGAACATATTATGGCAAAGAAAGCCTAAAAACTGGACCCATTTCTCTTCTGGTTTACATTATTTAAAGACCTTTGGGAAAAGTACTGCTGGTATATCATTCTTAGAAGATTCCAACCTCCCTGTGGAGGCAATGTTTCTAGGGAGGCCTAAGATCACAAAACAATTCAATTAAAGTTAAACTTGTGTTAGCCAACCGAAGTGGATATCCAGGGAGAGACTAACTAGGCAGGCTGTGGCTCAAGTATATGCAGATACCCATAAGTTAATAAACTTATTTCTAAGTAAACTGGGGAAGTACTATGTGTTCTTAGGAACTGATGCATAGGTAACCCCAAAGCCCTATTTTTATACTCCCTAGACACGGTCTTTTTAGCTACAAGTTAAAGTTCTTGGAAGTAAAACTACCAAATGCCCAGTCTATGACTATAAACTTCTACAGACCTTTGTGGCCATTTGGATAATTCTGCTTTCTGTTTAAGGAAAGGAGCAAGGGGGCAGGAGAAGGAGGCATGCAAGGGGGAAAATTGTTTAAAAAAAAAGAAGAACAAGAAGAAAGAAAAATTGCTGGGTTAATAGTCCCCATTTTCACAGACAAGTTTTCTTTTCCCCTTCACAGAAGCAGGTTCTCTGATTCAGCAGTGGCAACTGCAACAGCCTCTCCTGTCTCCCTTTCACACCCTTCCCCCAGTTTTTCAAGTGGATACAAAACAGACACTAATTTGCTATTTTTCCATTATAAGTATAAAGATTCAGGGCCCCTCTCCTATTGCTGCATTGCCACCAAATTTCTCAATATATATATATATATACTTAAACTTCGTTCTCTCTAAATCAGTCAGTTCTTCATGCTAAAAATGGCTACAGGTCTCTCACTGAGCCATTCAAGATCATGTAACAGTATGAGGCCCCTCTATTAAACTGAGAATGCCCCTCAGTCATAAATAAGTCCAATGCAGGGCTAGAACCCTTCCTGGTGAGAGCACTGATTTTGTGGTGGGCTCTGTTTCCTACCATGCAGGTTTCAGAAAAAGAACTGGCCACCCAAACCTAATTAATGTGTACAACAAAGGACTCAAGAGGACTGGGGTTGGAATTTAACAGCTTTCTTTTTTGAAGACAAAGAAAGAGACAGTGTGAATGGTTTCCAAACTATCTTTGGGTTTATCATCCACCAGGATAAGAAACTTAGTGCAAACATCAGAGTCAAGCTGTCTGTGAACAGGGATCAAATGCAATTCCAACTTTAAAGACAGCACAATAGTTTTAAAAACAATATAATTTGCAGCTTCAGACCACTTAGCTCCTGATAGCAAGAATAAGGGAGAGAATCTCAGGCAGCTACTTTTAAGAAAACAGTCTCAGTAAGAACTGTGCTGTTGCATTGGAGGTCTGCTGTCAGAGAAGCACATGCCACTGCTTTAGAAAAGAAAAAGAGCTGGAGCTATGGAATATCCAAGCTTACATGCCACCCAACAAAACACACACCACCACGCTGCCCCATAGCAACATTCCCATCAACAGAACAGGATAACACCAAGTCACAGAGAGGGAAAAAGGCTGGGCAGACACAAACTTAAAACCAGAGGTGAAGGCAGCTAGCTATTCAGAAAACTTCCAACAGATAACAGGGGAAATAAAAGTAGTTAGAGTGGGGAGAGAAACAAAAATAGAAGGCACCAGAGAAGCAATCAGCAAAAGGATAGCAGGAAACCTACTACAAAATTGAGGAGGGAAAGAAACAGTTTCAACACTACCCTCATTCGACTGCCTGGCATTTGTACTTCTAAAAAAATTTTGCTTCCCCAGTTCTCCCTCCCCACCTCTTCCCAGCGCAGCTGACTTTGGACAGCCATGGATTTCCTCAAGTTCTTTGTTCCTGAGGAGAAAGACACAGAGAAGGGTTGGGGGATAAGGAAAGTAGAAAGGACGGCAAATTAAAAAAAAAAAAAAAAATTGCCACAAATGTTTTCATACACTACAACCAGAAGGGTCGTGGATTTGAAAAAACGAAGACAAGGGGTGGGGTTAGCGATCATACTGGGGTAGAGGGAACGGAAGCAGAAGGGAAGGGTCATTGGGCCACCTCTAAAGACTACAGTACTACTACTGTAGGGTGCTGGACTCACTCTGAAGGACGCTTATGGTGGCCTGGGCTCGAATCCATGTTATGGAAGGGTTTTGCCTCAAGTCATTCCTCTTGGGGTCGTTGCTGGCCCTGCACTCGTAAGTCCCAGAGTCCTCCAAGGTGAGCCGGGTTATTCTCAGCACACTCACGCCGTTTGACCCGTAGGCGGTGTTTACGGTGACACGGCGCTTCCGAGCACCGTCCCACAGCTGTCTGAAAGACTCTGCCCGGTTGACTTCTGCGTACCACCACTGGATCTCTGGCGTGGGGCTCCCGACCACGTCACAGTACAGCTCAAAGGCGTCCCCCGTGAGCTTAGTTTCTGACATGGGCGACTTGACAAACCCAGCTAGAGGGAGGGGGAGCAGGAATGCAGTGACAGGCCAACCAGAAAAAAAAAACAAAAGAATCAACAGGTGTTAATAATTTAAAGGAAAGAAAAGAAAAGAAAAAAAGCAAATGAGTTGCAGAGAACAAAAAAGGATTCATTTTTAAACTATAAAGAGACAGTAATAGCAATTCATACAAGCTTTTAGAAGAAGAACCACCCTGGGAAGCTTATGAAGCAAAGGCAGGCCAATTACAAGCTGGGGCAGCCCAGGTGCTGGCCAGGCAGAAGCAAGCCCACTGGAAAGCATTTTAGCAATGGGCCCAGCTGGTAGGAATGAGAAAGCCTTGGGTCTTGGAAAGAGCATCCTTCCAACAGCACAAAACCATTACCTTTCCAAACTCAGGCAAATGATGGAAGATAACAGGAAGTGGCAATGGGTTTTTATGCCAAGTCAGGATCTTTTTTGAATGGGTAAACATTTCATTAGAGATGCAGTATCTTTCCTAAGCCTCAACAAGAAGTATTAACTCATCTACTGGTACCTTCTCTTGTTATTCAGAGTCCAAATTTCAGCTGAAGGGCAGCAAAATTCTCACATGCAGGGTACTATTCTTAGTTTAGTCTTTTCCCATCTCCTAATCTTCCCTGGGCCCATAGCAAACAAACAGCCTAGCTGTCTATGCCAACCTATCTGAATACAGACAGACCCTCAGGAACAGAAAAATAAGGCACAGTCTGTACTTCACACCAAAGTGAGAACTATTGAGCTCAGCCCAGGAGCTGAACCAACACTAATAGCAACCCAATCAATGCCAGTGAAAAGAGGGACAATGCTCTTCATGATCCTATAAATTCTACTAGTAAAATCTCAACAGCCAGTCTTTGAAATAACTGTGGTTCTTGATAGGTTCTCTACAAGGGTATCTGGTTGCTGGCAGTCAATACAAAAAAGGATGAGAACTAAACTGTAAGGGTGAAGGTTATGCCTCAACTTGCATTTGAGGCACTGCTCAGAACTAAAGCCCATGCCTACTTATGTCTACCTGCCCATAACTTGTTGTCTATAAGGCAAGGTAGTAGTGGCAGAAAAGTTGGGTTTTTGTTTATTTAATTGAATGTTTTAATCATTATCATCACACAGTCTTATTTTAAATCCTGGAGTAGGGCCTATAGTGAGAAAGACACCACAATGCAACCATCCACTCACTCTTTCACTCCCCAAATTTATTCAAATTTCTACCAATTAGGCAACGCCCTAAAATGTAAGTCAAGAATTTAGAGAAGGACAGTCTGAGTAGCTTGGCTCATGAGCTAAGCATGCTCTTCTGCAGTGAACAGATTACCAGGTCAGAACTGCCAATACTAAGACTTAAGAACACTCCAGAGGACAGGGAGAACAAAAATGCAAATTTTTCTATAGTCTAGGTGCCAAGGATGTAATTAGTTACCTGAAATTGGAGGTTAGTAAGTAGAAATATTACTGTTTATAGCCACAGCAGTATCTGCCTGTGGAAACAAATCCCATTCTGTAGATCTATAAGGAGGTTGCTGACTGTCGCATTCAAGTGCAGTTCAAGATCTCTAAATTCATTCTGGCCTATCAACTAGCTTTCAGAGTGAATAGTAGAGAAATACAGTATTTAACAGGCTTATACTAAATGTTGTACTTTGAATATGGCTATTTGACACCTCCCCTTTGGATCTAGAATTTATTCCTTGTAAGAAACTATCTAGTACAAGCCCCAATAGGTCAAACAAATGTCAATCTCAGACACAGAAGTTGTTTAATAAACATAGAAAAGAGCCCCCAAAGGTCCTGTATAGAGCTGAGCTTGCTGCTAGATCTAAAGGGTCATGTCTCAGTCAGCTTCATAAACTGTTACCAATGTCAAAAAGTCAACGCCTACACATAGAAGGGGAGAGGTTCAGGAAGCTGGGTTTTACTATTAGTGTCATCACCAGTGAAAACTACCTATCAGTAAGTTCTTGAAATACTGTGAAGATTGTTTTAATCATAATCTTGACCACTTAATAGAAATCACATCTTACTCTGACACTGTCCATGAAGGTGGGGTTCTTATATCTCTCAGATGCTGTAATTATGTACTTGACAATATCATAGAAACTATTAGTGGACTTGCATATTTTCTACTTTCTTCTGAACAGCACAAAGCTATTAAACATAAACCTGTTTGTCAATCTGTTGACCAAGCTAATATAAAAAGGATGATCCAAATCAACACAATCCATGAAACTCCAGTGCAACCCCAAATCTCAATATTACACAATTCAAACATATTGAGAAAAGGATGTAAACATGATTCCCATTGCACAAAACAAAGCAAATTACTCAGGCTGGTCCTGCTACCCCAGGCAAGATTTCCTACCAAGAAGGAAAAAATGATAATCTAATTCAGTTCAAATGCCTACCTGTAGGTCAGGCTTAGACCAGGCTTGGTGGCACACATCCTTGATCTCAACACTCAGAAGGCAGAGGCAGGCAGATCTTTCAGTTCAAGGCCAAACTGGTCTAAAGAACAAGTTCCAGGACAGCCAGGGCTACAAAGAGAAATTCCATCTCAGGAAAAAAAAAGTCTCCATCAGTCAAATCAAGCCCAAGTCAAATTTATTACTTGAACTGGTAAATCATAAGATGCAACAAAATAGAAGGCGCTGGAGATATGTTCAGTGGTTAAGAGCACTTACTGCTCTTGCAGAGGACCTGGGTTTGGTTCCTATAACCAAATGGGTCTAGCTCCAGTGACTCCAGGGAATCAGACTCCCTCTTCTGGCTTTATCAGGAACTGCACATTCATACTGTATGTCCACTGGTGTTTTGCCTGCATGTTTGTCTGTACGAGGGTGTTAATAATCCTGGTACTGGAGTTACAGACAGGTGTGAGCTGCCATGTGGGTGCTGGGTATTGAACCCAGTCACCTGGAAGAACAGCCAGTGTTCTCAACTGCTGAGCCATCTCTCCAGCCTTCCTTCCTCCCCCTCTCTTCCCCACTCCTGCATCCACTCTGAGCTGCCTATGGCTGTGAGACCATCTACTGGAGTGTGGTCCAGCTAACAAAGGACCATACTCTTAAAACAAATAAACAAAAAACCAAGGAGTTTTCTGTCCTCCAAAAGCCATTAACTTTCAATAACTCCTTGGTCAGGGATGGAGGCTCATGAGGGCCTCCCTGATCTAAGGAAACATTTTCTAAGTATGTGTTAGATTTCAGGCACTCTGTCTAATTATTCCCAATACTGCCTTTTGTTTGTTTGTTTTTTGGAGACAGAGTTTCTCTGTATAGCCCTAGGTGTCCTGGTACTCACTCTGTAGACTGCTGGCCTCAAACTAAGAGATCCGCCTGCCTCTGACTCCTGAGTGCTGGTATTCAAGTCATGCACCACCACACCAGCTCTCCTACTTTATAAAACAGTTATTGTTGAAACCCTTAAAGATAGAACTATGGTCCAAAAATGTTAAGTGTTACAAGCTGGGGATGTAGCTCAGTGTTAGAGTGCTTGCCTAATAAACACAAGCTCTTGCTTGGGTCTGAATCTCTTGCACTGCAAGAGCGGGGAAAGGATCTTTTGCCCATTATCATGAGAATATAGCACAGAACCCAGATATGTCCAAAGCCAAAGCATGATCTCCTAACACGGTCCACAACTGCAGTCAATGTGTCTTACAAAGCTAGACAAGTGTCTGTAATCATTAAAAGTAAATTAATGAAATACTTTATCATTTAATTTAGTAATTAATTGGTTAATTCTTGGACACAAACTACCATATATCCTCCACTTAACCAAGATCACTTTAGTGGCTAAGCCTGAGTTTACCTGGAACTAAAGTGTCTTTAATTCTTACTCTGAGGCTCTTTCCCACAAACTATACTACTGTCTCTACAGAAACTATGAGATTCCTTAATAGCTGAACACTTATCAAAACAAGCCATGTAAATATTTCCCCTCCAAAGAGAGGAAAAGAAAGAAGAACTTCTCTATACAGCACCAGGAAATAAGTCACAATTAGCAAGGGAAGGTTATTAGCAATCATCCACCTCATTATCTACCCAAAATTAGCTCCAAATTCAGAAGACCCAGCTTTCAGAAGCAGCTCAGAACCTGACTCACTGCCCTGCCTTTCATCACCAAGGGCTTTCAAACAAACTGTGCCCTCTACATGAAAGTACACAACTGCCTGAAGTTAGGGACCACCAGAAGCACTTATTTGAACAATGATACAGGGCTTTTGGGGATGGAGAGAGGGAATAGAAGCTGGTGTTAAAAAGGGGTGAAAATGGAGGCAGCAAAACCTGGAAAAGTGTCATGAAACTCTGCATAGCTGAGATTGGGGGATGGAAAGCGGAGATGACAGCTGGGGCTAGCAGCAGGGAAAAGGAGGAGCTCTAGGCTCAGGAAAACCTGGGTGTGTAAATATAAACAGAGTGCAAATAGAGAGGGAACACAGAAGAGCCAAGTTGAACCCAATCTCAAGAAAACTATCTCCACATATCCCTTAAAAAAAAAGAAAGGAATTTTTACCATCCAATTCTTACTTGCCTTCGAGGCAACCACAGTAACAAGTAACATTAACTGCTCTCCCTCAGCTGACTGCTGCCAAGGCCAGGCCTTTAAATCCTGCCTACACTTGCCACTTTCTTTATAAAGAAAAGGAAGGAAGGAAAGAAGGAAGGAGGGAGGGAAGGAGGAAGGGAGGGGGGAGAGAGGGAGGGAGGGAGGGAGA